GATCGCCCCTCTTGATTTTATGACATTAATTATCTGTCTTTTGACTCTTCAACGAAGTAATTCTAGAATGAATTTTGACCATTCACTTGGCTATTTGGCATGAAGGGAAGATGTAAAAATGAGAAACGGGACAAGAAAATAGATTGGAACATCCATATGTTGATTTTGAATTTGTCAACTTTCTTTAGGACATAGAACAATTTTAGTCCTAGAGTTTTTTTATAGTAATTTTATCAAAGGAGAGTCCTTGTAATTGAGCTTAAAATCAAAGGACGCCACGATATTTTATTTCGGAATTCTTTTTCTTTCCTTCTTGAAAGGCACTTCCTTCTTCTTCCGTAATAGGAATCCTCTTTACCAAAGCTATCAGAAAAAAGCTACCCCTTTTGGTTAAATTATTTTCTGCTAATCAAGAAGGTTTGTTTGGACCAACTTGAAAATGTAAAAAGTTTCATCTGTATGTGGTTTGGTTCCCTTATTTTTTTCTCTGTTTGTGTGGTCGATTATTTTAACACGTTGGATTTGTACAGTCAAGTCCTTCTACCCAATTATAGTCATTAATCCTGTCAAATTGCTGAACATGATAACGTTGATATGGTGCTAGGTGGACATGTCACCTGCTGATGTTCGATGGCTGCCGAGCCAACCCTCGCCCGGTAGGAGTGGGATTCGACGATCACCGGCGTGCTTGAGCGAGTAGGGTCGCCCGACCTTGCATATATATATTTTAATCATCTCTCTTTCTTTCTCCTCGCAGTGCGGTTTGCTGTCGTCGCCTCCCGGCCCTTCCCCCTCTCTCGAGTGTTTATTTTGTTTTTTTCTTATTATTTGCGGAAGTTGGGCTTATTTGGCACCAGTCATTTGCCATATCAGCAATTTGAGAGAAGGATTCAATGGCATGAATGGAAAAAAAGTTTGAGTACTTAATTGCAAAAAAAAAAAAAAAACAGGTTAAAAAACTAAAAATCGCACGTTGAAAATTAGAGGGCTAAATCGGCAAATAACTAAAAAAATTACTTTTGTACTTTCCATAAAAAAAAATTTAAAAGCTTTGAGAACATCAAAATGACCCAACATGTAAATGGAAACATTCAAGTGTTTAATATTTTCAGAAGTTGTAAGACAGGGGTAAGCAAAATGTCAAAAGTAAAGGAAAATCACATAAATAATCTTCTTCTTTTTCTTATTTTACGTATCGCATAACGTACTTTATTATATACACTTTGCCTCCATTGATTTCCAAACAAAAACTTACTCTTTTTTTTTGTCAAAAGAAAATTGTATTCATTGCTCAAAAGGATACACGAGAAGAACATTGATTTTCATGGCAAAGAAAATCGAAGTAGAGCAAAGTCCAGAATACAACAAAACAAAACCAAATCCAGAAAACAAGGAAGATTTATGGAGCACCGGCAGGCTTAAGCACATACTCATACCATAAAAACGGATCTGTCAAACAAAATAATCGGCGGCTGATCACCGGATGCCATATCATTATCAGTGATGAGCACACGCCGGAAAGTTCTTCTCCAATAACTACGGTATTGCTTGTTAGCGGTACACGCCTAGGTTCGGCTTTCTCTACACTATCGCCGTACTGAGATAACCAAACTGGGTTGAAAAAACACAAATCTAACTTTTGGAAGAGCAAATCTTCATGGCTCAGCCAGGCGCCAAGACTCTTACAATCATCAATGACCTGTACATAGATAGAGCACATGAGTATCGAAACTCCGAAAATATTATTAAACTCTCAAATGTAAATCGGGAGAGTTCAAACTCTCAGATTTAGAATTAAATCGGGATAAGAGAGCTCCCAGATTTAAATTGGGAGATAAGAAAAAATAAGAAAAGCACGGAAAGACTTAATTAGTAAAGTAGTGTGAAGTACAATTTAGAAATTAGAGAATGCTAATTACAGTTTCCTCTTCATACATATATATTATATATATAAGGAAATACAATTCACCAAGTCAACAACTGTTTTAATCATGACTTGACCTACGCCCATTGAATTTGTCCACATCGTACGGGCATATGTTTGCATAGAGGCTGCCATTTTGTCAAGCAACACGGATTTGAAAATTTCGGCTATAACTTCAGGTTATGATGTCATGCTCACGTCATCACATTTTTTTTAACAAGGTGTATAATAATTTAATATGACGATGTTACGAATTTATTAATCCTGTATATGAGTATCGGATAAAACCTTACTCACAAGGTATCTAATACGATTTCTAGAATTATCTAGACCGGATCTCCTCATTATAAGATTTACTTATTTGAAGTAGACTTTCTCGAAAAACCACGTTCGATATGCTTGCAAATTACAAAGATTTTTTGTTTTGTTTTGTTTTGGGCCAATGGATTCGATAAGTTATTAGGAAACGTCAAAATAACCATAAAAGCTTTCGAATAGTAGAATATGATTCGATGGTTCACTTGCTAACATTGAGGTTGAAATGCGATCGTCACACGACATTTTACCTAATTAGAGTCTTGCAAAATGTATTGTGCTTGTTGTTTTCATTGCTGATACATGCTTCGATCATTGAATCTCTTGCTAATATTCAGATTAGCAAGCTGCCAAAGCCTACAAGAGTGGATTGCTTCTGAGTTAGGGTTAAAAGTTTAGAAAAAAAAAGTATTATTAATGTTGAATCATATGTTTAGATATATTGTTGACATATTTCCTCAAAGTTTAGACTTTTAGGAAAAATAATTTATATAATATGGCATGACAGTCATGTCAAGATTTTGAACTCGACACTCCCTCTTAATCTTCTCATGATTGTTATCCCTATTATTCTGTCAATTTTCACATTCCTCCAATTATCCCGTTATAATGTTGAGTCAGATGCTTTAAACACATTATTAACTCGTTAATGGATAATTTTTTTAAACTTTTAGAAAAAATAATCGGTATGTCTAAACATTGGCAGTGTACAAAAGGAGCAAGAAAAGAGTGCTTGAGAGGGCAAATTGTTTGAAAGGACTACATTGACAAATTATCAAAAAATTTAGGATTAAATTGGCACAATGAAAATGTTTAAGATTAAATTGACTGCCCTACAATAGATTTTGGACTTTTTGCACATTTTTCCCGTCGACAACCTAATGCATCTTGGATCTCGACACTTGAATCGGCTACCAATGATCATTGATCAACGACTCAAGAATCTGGTTAGCACGACAAGTTTGATAGAAGACGAGAAGCTCACAATTTGCTTCTGGTGTTTCAAGAAGGTGTCACCTTACCGAACCATCAAGAAATGCTCAATCTATATGCACTCGATTCGTGGCGTGCCAAGTCATAGCATAATCACATGAATCGAATTCTCCTTTAACATGATTAATAAACTAGATTAAGATTACACAAATTGACATGAACCCTATCTGATTTAACATTTAACCCACCGATCACAATCCAACTAGTTTAAAATACCCATATGGAAATCGACATGATTTGGAGATAGGTCTTGGAAAAACTACCAGCATTGGCCGGCCAGTTGATTCGTGAGTTGTGGGGGCACTTTTACAAGGTGAAAGATCACTGCCCAAACAGTTGTGCAAGTGAAAAAAAATATTGAGTATCTTTGCAAGCAATTGACTTTCATCTAAATGAAATCTCCACCATTAGAAGATTAAACTATCATCTCAAAGTTCCATTTATTAGATTCCTATAAAGTCACTGCATGTTTCGATTGGAATTAGAATTCTCTTTTAAGTGCTCGACTTAACTCATGTATGGAAAACCGTGACATATCGTTGTGAAGATAGATGAATGCGCGCATTGAAGAAGAAACGCATCCGTTCGTCCCGATTTTCCGTCTCGCGTTCGACATTCTTAAGACAACTTTCCAAAAGACGCAGCCTTGTAGGACTAAATCCCAAAGACAGAATTTCAATTAGCTTGTGAAAGGGTCATCCTTTGATTTTGAACTTTACCGGATTCATTAAATTGGCCTATTTACCTTTGTACTAGGACAATGAATATGTCTATTCACGGCAGGAATTTAATTCTCATTAAGATCCCATTGGCCTTGCTGCCAAATACTGTGACAACCAATTGAATGGCCTTTTCGCAAACAATCGTGCAATGTATTTTGGTGAAATTTCTATCGAATATGATATAAATAATCTCTGAATTTCGGCTTAATGTGCAACGTGATTTTTGAACTTTAGCCTAATATACAATGTCGTCCATGAACTTTTAATTTATTCAATGTCATCCTTAAATTTTTGATATATATTCAATTTAGTCCCTTAATTATATGAAAATGTTCAATATTATCATTATATTAATTCAAGTTTATGTACAACATTTAACATTTTCATATAGTTCAGGAATTAATTTCAACATTTGCTAACATTATAAGGACCACATTAAACAAATTAAAAGTTTAGGAACGACAATACACAGCAGACCAAAATTTATTGACTATATTGAACAAATTAACAATTTAGGCACCACATCACATTCCACAATGGGTCAAAGTTCATGGACTATTTATGTCATTATCCCAATTTCATTTTAGTTAAACTATGATTTTTTTCCTTTTAAAGTTTTATTATACCAAGTATTAAGCGAATCATTTAAAATTTGGGGGTAAAACTCCGACAGACAATGTTAATTAGAGGATTTTTTTTTTCTTATTTCGCACAACTTTCCGAGAGGATTCTCCCGGCGAACACGAAAAATTAGCCGAAAACACGACGAATCGGAGCGACCCGATTCAATTTGATTTTAAAAGGGCCCCCCAAAATTTCATGGAAAAAATTGAGAAATGTCTGCTGATGAGTGGCAATTACAGCAATAATCCAATTAATCTCACGTTAACCATCGCCGTCCTTGAATGGTGCGCACCACCCCACATGGGACCTATCATTGAAGAAAATCGTTTGTTTTCTTTTTTAAAAGAAATATCCGTTTTTTTTACCCCCTTTTTTTAATTTTTTTTATTAATCCTCCTCCCGCGCTCAAGACAGCAAAGACATGAAATTACAGGCGAACGTGCGAAAATCCCCAGATTTGTTCCTGAAAGCCCCTTCGATTCCCTCGAAGAAAGACGTCATTTTGATTTTGATGCAAAATAGCAAAAAATAATAAACACCCACGAGACCAATCGAAACGGGCCTAATCTTCCTCTTCCTGCTGGTTCCTACAGATTTGTATTTTTTTAGTTTCCCAAGTTTTTCGGTCTGTTGTTCTTGTCCATTTCACATGCACTCACTGTTTCTTTGATCGGTCTCTCTCTCTCTCTCTCTGCACTGTTCCACTCCTTCTTTGGTTCTTCCTTTTGTAATGCAAGATTCATCCCGATTTGCGCGTACCCTTTTGCCCACTCGCGTTGGTTCTCTCGAATTTAGCGTGTAAACTCAGTGGGTTTGATTTAACTGGGTTCATAATTGGTAATTTGTGATTGTGATTGCAACGCCACCGACGACGAGGCGCCCCCCACCATTGAGTTTTCGGCTTGATTTGGCGAAGTGGGTATCGGTTCTTTTTGCTCGGATTGCATTGAATCGAGGGAATTCTGGGTTTTGATTCGTTGGATGAGAAGGGGAGGAGAGAGATGATAACGCCACATGTGGGTTTGGAGGAACGATGACTGGAGGGTCATTGGGGATCCGCTCCGGTAGTTATGGCTCTCTGCAACAACAACAACAACAGCTGCTCCTCCAGAACGGTGGGTTGCCAATCCAAACGACGCCGCCTCCTCCGCTGCCCCGGAAGCCGAGCAAGATGCCAAAGGAGAAGGAGAGGCTGTTCCACTGGATCGTCAAATTCGCCGGCAGGAAGAAAGTGGGCATGCTCTTCCTTTGCTTGATATCCGCGGCGGTTTTTGGGTGGGTTATGTATGTGGGCAATGGCAAAGGTTAGATTTTTTCTGGGTTCATGTTGTCCTCTATTTTCAGATGCTCACATCGTACTCGATCGCTTGTGAAGATAGTTATGATGTCTGATTGTCACATTCAGTTGAACAGTTTGATCTGGGTTTCAAGATGTTAATGTGAACACAACTGTAATGTGGGGAAGAAGCTAGCCAAATTAATGACTGGGAATTGTGGTATAGTATCCATATACAACACCCAGTTTGGATTAGTTTGGTGTGTGATGCTTTTCTGGCCTCGTCTTTCAGTAATTTCACTTGCACTGAAGTCCTTCTTGGTTCTGCATTTGAGAAATTGTGATTCTGCCTTTTCTTATATTCTAAGATTGATGATCTATACATAAAGATACGTGTTGTGGACTCCATTACTGGGGATCCATGATTTAGTTGAGTCTGAGCCGCTTTGCACTTTCTTATTTTACTGGAAATGTTACTGGCAGAAATTGTAGATTCGAGAAGTGCATGTTGTAAATCTCCAGTTTTTCCACTGGTTCATGGTCGATCATTAAATACGAGATTAGTTTTGCTTTCAGGTGAAGATGTGCACGATGCGGTCAGCTTTGTTAGGTTCACCAATAGCAGCTTGACTATAAGCAATCCTGTGTCTTCTCCAACAAATGGAGAACAAATTAGTAATAATGCTTCATTAGTTGACACGGATGGAAGAGATAGAAATAAAATTTTGCCTCTGCCACCACCTCCCCCGACATTTTTTCTGGGCTACTCACTCCCTCCAGGCCATCCATGTAATACTTTCACCTTACCTCCCCCTCCAGCAGACAAGAAAAGAACTGGACCTCGGCGTAAGTGTTGATCTTTCTATTTTGTTTTTCAATGATGAATGAATATTGGTCGAATTTGCTGAGTACAGATCTGATTATATGAGACCAACTTGCATACCTTGGAACAAGGCAGATGTGTAGGTGCTAGGATGCGAATGCAAATTTTTGGCACAATCTTTGTTGTAATGTTACTCTCTTTTGTTTGTGCGGGAGTTCAGCATGTCCTGTCTGTTATCTTCCTGTTGAAGAAGCCATTGCCTTGATGCCAAAGGACCCCTCGCTATCTCCAGTGCTTAAGGATTTGACTTATGTATATGAGGAAAACTTAAGTAGAGATGGAGAATTTGGAGGATCGGATTTTGGTGGTTATTCCACTTTGAGGCAGAGGAATGATTCATATGATCTAAGGGAGTCTATGAGCGTGCATTGCGGGTATGTACATTTGCATTTTACTGTCAGACTTGGGCATGTATTAATGAAATCCTCCCTTTTCCAAGTGTCCTTTCTTTCACTCTCGATATAATCTTACAATGGATTAAAAATATTAATTTTAATTCTCTAGCATTGCTTGTCCATTGTGCATTTCGGTTTACCATTCGGTTGTCTGCCAGGTTTGTTAGAGGAAGTAAACCTGGTAGACAGACTGGATATGATATGGATGAATCTGACCTTCTTGAGATGGAGCAGTGTCGTGGTGTGGTTGTTGCATCAGCAATATTTGGTATTTTTCCCTCTCTAGCTTTGCACTGAGCCTTGTCTTTTTCCCTCATAAGCTAGGGAACTTCCTATTTACGAACAAATTTTCATCAGGAAACTTTGATGAGATACACCAGCCAAAAAACATTAGTGAATATGCCAAGAAGAAGGTATGCTTCTATATGTTTGTTGATGAAGAAACGGAGGCATTTTTGAAGAATGCCAGTGCTATTGATGAGAGCAAGAGGAGTGGGTTGTGGAGAATTGTTGTTGCGCGCAATCTTCCTTATGCGGATCCGAGACGCACCGGCAAGGTAATATTTGATTAAGTAACAACAGTTTGAGGGGTCGAAATGGACTTTTGATTCCTGGCAGCTAGCCCTTTGATGATAAGTTGCTTTCCTTATGGATGGGAGGGATTGATTGGTGAGTATATTGGGTAGAGATTATGTTGGTCCGAGAAGTGAGTTGTTGCACGATAGGCAGTTTAGATATTGTAGTGATTGCATGATTATTAGTACAGCAATAGTGCAAACTGACGGCCTAATTTTGCTGGGTGAGATCATGCTGATATCAAAATGCTTAGAGAGGGTTTTTCAGGAGAAAATATTTTGTCTATCGTTACACGCTCGAGGCGGCCTGACTGGCCAAATATCAACGCTTGCTTGCAATTTACACCTAACCAACTTTTGTGTTTGGATTTCAAAACTCTCCTTCTTTAGTGGTCAGTCTCTCCAACGTGGTACGACGATTCAAATGTATCTTTTACTAGTAGAGAGCAAGATATGTTCTGACGCCTTACCTGTAGGCTTATTAATCTTTACCTTTTCGTTTTATATATACCAATAAGTGGAAGATATTTACTTTTGCTGCTGTGGTGATTCTTACTATCCCGTAGTTGTTAATATGTTGTAGAAATGGAGCACAGGCTTTGGTTTTTACCTTTGGGACTTTCATTCATTATGTATGGATCTTTGTACCGGGAAAGCTGTATGCTGGTTCTCACCTTCTGCTATTCTGATTGCAGATCCCAAAGCTTCTCTTGCACAGGATGTTCCCAAATGCTCGCTATTCTCTTTGGGTCGATGGAAAACTTGAACTTGTGGTGGATCCTTATCAAATACTTGAAAGGCGAGAATAATTTTCTTGTAATTTCATTTCATATGAGGAATTCGTCCCTAGAAGTTTAAGAAGTCTAAGAGTAGCAGGCAGTTACATCGCTTTATATATATTTCTTCTGTGGGTAGAGTTTTAGATAATGTCCAGAACAAGAGATAGAGTAGTCTCTGCACTAACAAATGTCGTCTTGTGTGTTTTACACTAACAAGTTGCGAATGTGAGGACTTTCAACACTAAATGGAATTCAGCTTGTTGGATAATGTGGACATTGTGTGTCATTAAAAAAATAAGTCTGGTACAAAACCACTGATTTTTCAGTAACTGACTTCCTTCTTATTGCTGAAGATAGAATACACTCAGTAATTGTCAATTCAAAAGTATTGGATTCTACTGACAAATCTGCCCCCATCACCTTTACAACATTCTTTTCTTCTGCAAATTTTATTACAAGTGTTTCCATGGCGATTCATTCTTTATACTTACAATATCTATAAAGCCAATACCCTTGCTCTCTTAATCTGATTTGCTCACCTCTCCCATCCTTTTTTCATCGTAATGATGAGAAAATTGATCTTAATTGCTGTGTTGGAGTTGCCCTCAGTTACTCTGTTGGAATTTGATGACATTGAGAAAGTTGATGGGTTTCTTGGGATGTGTTTGGGAATCACAAGTCAGATTGGAGTCGAGGCTAACGATCATGTGGAAGAAAGGAACCCACAAATGGCAACAAAGGAATTCTATGCACAGTGGTTTTGATGATCTGTGTGATAAATAATCTGAGTAAATGCATAATATAAGTGATAAATGGATATAAGGGTAACAAAATGGCGATTTGAATATTTCATTGAACACTTGAACTATGTTCAGTGCTTTATAGAAAACTGTCACCAAAGAAACTTTTATTTGCATTTCAGTGCTTTAGAAAGTTCAGCACTAAAAATTGAGTATTAAAATTTTCACTACTTGATTTTCATATTTTTAAGTTGAATGCCTGGTAGAGTCTTCGATTATCATGTTTACTTCACTACTGGAGCTTCCTTGTTCTGTATAAACTCTCGATAAATCGTTTGCTTGTGGACTTGCTACTCTGGTAGAGTTCCATTCAATGAATTTTATATTCCTGTCGAGCTCATTTGCGGAGGGTGCTTCCAGTTGGTTATGGAATCTAGTCATATTTAGTTTCTGCGAATAATTTTGTTTATAACTTTAGATCTTTCATTCCTGGCTTAGGATGTAATTTGTAAATAAAAAGATAACTATCAGTCTTTCCTTTTTGCCTAACTTAATTTTGTCATTAGCTGCATTCAGAATATTGTCATATTGTTGCCAATACAGCTGCAGGATTCTGTCCAGATTTTTTTTGTAATATGTTGGTAGGACCATCTTCGGTCAATGTGTCAGTGATGTTAATTTGCTAGATCAAGTTTTTGGAACTGTTTCAAAGTTGGTTAACTGTTTTCTGAAGTTAAAGTTGTCCTGAAAAGTTCATATGACAAGTCTTGTTGTGACCGTCTACAGTGTTATCGAATCACTGTGTTGATGTGGTGGTTGTTTCCATGTACTTGATCTTGTTCTTTGAGAATTTTTGCAAGAACAATGTTATGAGATTGCTAGTAGTAGCTAAACTGAGTGAGTTCTAGTTTGATTGATTTTCAAAAGCCATTAAGAAGTATAAACAGCAAAAGAACTCATGCAGAAACTGTTAATAGATAGCTCCTAGTGACTCCTAGATTTCTATCTGAACAATATCTCAACTTCCTTTTCTTCACAATGCAGGTTCTTGTGGAGGAAAAATGCCACTTTTGCTATTTCAAGACATTACAGACGCTTTGATGTCTTTACAGAAGCGGAAGCAAATAAAGCAGCAGGGAAGTATGACAATGCTTCTATAGATTTCCAGGTTGAGTTTTACAAAAAGGAAGGCTTGACCCCATATTCTGAGGCCAAGCTTCCTATTACAAGTGGTAAGGCGCTATTTTCTCATTTTCTGTTTGTGGCTTTCATCTTCTTTTTTATTGTCTTCTCGCCTGATTGTGGTTTCCTACGATGTGCTCCATCTTACCGCTTCACACAGATGTTCCTGAAGGATGTGTGATCATAAGGGAGCACGTCCCTGTCTCAAACCTTTTTACTTGCCTTTGGTTCAATGAGGTGGACCGTTTTACCTCTAGGGACCAAATTAGCTTTTCAACCGTTCGAGACAAGATCGCATCCAAGACTAATTGGACTATAAATATGTTCTTGGATTGCGAAAGGAGAAATTTTGTGGTCCAGGTAAATCATTCTTGCTCTACTCAATTGCTCCTCTTGTCTGTCTGGAACAGAACTCCTAGAGGTAGGAGAATACCTGATGATATAAGAATTTCCATGCTTTATTTATATTTGGTTTATATGGACAAGCAGCTGTCTTTTTGTGAGTATTTACAAATCGAAATAATGATTTCTGGACGGATGGTTTTTCAATCTTCATACAACACTTAATTGTTGATGAGGACCTAGTTTGTGGTGGCCTGTTTTTCCTGATCCTTTCCCTCTAGTGAACTGTGTTGGGCATGAATTGATTTTCTTTTCTTATCCCTTTGCTTGGACAATAATTTTTCAAAAAATTATCTCTCTTTCCTCAGTTTAATTGTTTTAATTTTCTATTTTCGCTTTTTCGGTACATGCAGAAATACCACAGGGATGTGTTGGAGCACATGGCTCCTCCTGTTCCTGTCCAAATTTATCCTCCCCCACCTCCACCTGTTTTTGTCCCAGAAAGTGTAATTAAACAGGCTCCTGAAGTTCACAGCCAAGGGATAGTAGCAACACCAGTTAAGAAAGTCCCTGTGAGGCGAAGAGAGAGGAGAAGTTCACGGCGGCATCGAAAAGTCGCTGCCGGAAATAGGGACCCTGATTCGAGATGAATCTGTTTTGTTCTTCTTTTCCTTCTCTTTGGAAGCTATTATCATTCTTTTTCCTCCCTTTCGAGAATTTTCGTCCGCAGGCAAAGAAGAGTGTTGTATTTCCACATGCGCAAGGAGGAATTTACATCAATTTTTATCTTTTTTGCCCCCGAAATTGGAAATTTGTCGATTCATCGTTCAATTTTTTGGTGTATATATATTTATTATTTCCAATAATTGTTAAAGATCAGATGCTTTCAAATCCCTCAAATGGAGTATGGCCCTTTCCTTATTTTATAGTTTGCAGGTACATGTCATCAATGTGTTGTCCGGAAACTTTTGAACACCTAACTAATCTTTACCGGGTATGACAATTCTTACGTCCCCGTAAGCTCTATATTGTTGAGTTGGCGGATTCAAAATGCCTATCCCTTCCTCATGAGCAATTTACTTGATGGGTTATTTAGAGAATATCACTTCCTCCTTTGTATGCTTTATTACCCATCACTCTTGTATGAGAATTTTGATGTAGATTATGAAGAGAAATAAGTCATTTGATTATGGTATTAGTGCTAAAAAAACTTGCGGTAGAAACTATCATATTACTTGCACATTTTAGCCTAAACATCACTCTTGTGATTGATTAGGGGTGCATTTGGGTTATTTTATGAATAAAAATACAAATCTCCCATTTTCAGATATTTTTATCTTAAAATTTTCCTTTGCAATGATTTGACTTTTGTAGATACACAGGTGATCTCTCTTTTTCTTGGTAACATTCTTGAAATTATTTAAGGATATGCCTAACATTACAAAGTTTGGTGGAATTTAGCTTCTTGGTGTCTCTCTTTCCTTTGATTGAAATTGCAGGCGTGTGGAACAGCTGCGAAGCTTGACAAAAGAGGAGCACGATTGTATGGTGATCTTTCTTTCTCTTGGTAATATTCTTGAAATGTTTAAGGATATCATTAACGCTACAAAGTTTGGTGGAATTTAGCTTATTGGTATCTCTCTTTCCTTTGATTGAAATTGCAGGAGTGTGGAACAGCTGCGAAGCTTTGACAAAAGAGGAGCATGATTGTATTACCGTGTAATATAGTCAATCAAAAGCATCCACTTTATTGACCTTTTCGATGTAGGACATCGAGCCCTGCAACAAAAGAATAATCAAGACTTCAAATCCGAACTTCCTAAGGGTCGCACCTAGGGTTTCTCAAGCGTCGTGCCTGAGAGAAGAATTGCATCACACAATTCCACAGCAAAGAATTGCCAAATTCAAATGATCATCAACTCAATTCAAAAGAGAGAATTGCAACCATGTATATGTATATGGACTCTCTAAAGTACTGCTCCAAGTCAAAATAGGAAACCTTGTACATCCTAATAAAACTAGGATACACATGCCCACTGCCAACAAAGGAAAGGAAACGTCAGATCAAGTTCCAACAAAGGGAAAAAGGAACCTTATTAAAATCATGATAGACTCCAATCACTTGAGAGGATTCTTGATTAATCAGAGAAAATAAGCAACAGATCTTCATATGGCGCGCCTTTTGTAAGTCTTCGAAGGTTGTTGCCGTCATTCTCCATCATTTCTACCCGGCTTGAAAAGACTCGACTCCGGCGAGCCAATTGCATAGAGTTGATCATAAAGATTCTGGTCAAGCTTTTGAAACTCCTCATCTGTTATCCCATGTACAATCAGAAAGAGGATGGCCTTTCCATATGACAAGAAGCTTTTGGCAACCGCCGCCCCTCGCAGAAACGCCTCGATTATCAAGAACTTCAATTTCATCTGGAACATTAAAGACGTTGCTTATGCCTATATCTTCCGGTAGATCAAGAACATATGCATTTGAGCTAATGTTCTACAGAATTTTAAATGGACCAGCACTCTTTGGATGGAGCTTCTTGAATGCACCTTTAGGACACCGTTCAGGTTTGAGACAGAATCATGACCATATCTCCTTCAGCAAAATCAGCTGATCACCTTTTAACGTGTGCTCGAGCCTTGTCACTTTCGTTACTCAGTGCAATTTTCCTTCAAACTTCATCATAAATGTCCCTCAGATGTCTCGCAGAAGCTTCTGCTTCAACGCGAGTTCTAGTATTAAGCGGCAAGCTAAAGAGATCATTTTTTTTTTTTGTTTTGCTAAAACAAACCTTCCATTGCATCAGAGAAGATCAAATATTACACAGAAAAACTAGAGCCTACATCAACATGATAAATTAAAGAAAACTCCGCTAATACTAAGTTTTTTACTCTAGATGGGAGATCATTAAAAAAGAAAGATGATGCAGTTCCTAACTGATAAAAAGCCCATTTTGCAAGCTCATGAGCAACAACATTACTAGATCTATTGATCCACTTCAAACTCCATTATGAGTTGTTGCTAAGTAGTATGCGAGAGTCCGAGATGAAAGGATGAATACACCAAGGACAAATGGCCTTTTGTTGAATAGCATCAATTAACACCTTACAATCACTTTCAAAAACCGCTTTGTGGATGCCGAGGGACTGAGCAGCTTTGCATGCGAGAAGAAGAGCTGCAACTTCCACTTCCACTGGCGAGTTCCATCTTCCTCGTCTTGTCCACGCTTGGACAACTGAGCCTCTATACGATCGTGCAATAATACCTATGGCACCTCTGTTATCTTTCCACGCACCATCTACATTAAATTTTAACTCTTGGTTTGATGGAGGAATCCAAGAGTTTGACCTTACTCCAATAAAACCTGGTTCCTCGCTTAACTTAACTTTGTTCTCCCTCTTGAACATATTTGAATATTCCAAGAAATCTTGTATGACCATCTGAATTGCCTAGGAAGGAACTAGAATAGTCTGATCATGTAGCTTTGCATTCCTGCAACGCCACATTCTAGTGCAAAGAATTGCTGCATAAAGGGTGAAGAGCTTGCAATCCACTTCCGTTCTCTGTGCTATTTTTCCTGGATCAAGAAAGTGATTCACCATCTCTTCCGGAGACCTGAAGTTCCAAGCAGACGAGATAATACCCCATGGTCTCTGTCTCCACAAAATTTGGGCTAGAGGACATCTTGTGAACAAATGTACTGAATTTTCCTCCGAAGTTCCACACAACGGGCAAGAGGGGTCTGGGATATGGATCAATTGAAACAAGTTAGCTCGACAAGGTAAAACGTTAGTCGCTATCCTCCACAGCATCATTTTTGTGTCGTTCATGAGCTCCAGCTTTCCAGATTTTGTTCCAAATCCCACGGTTGTTACCATTTTCATTTCGTGACTTTATGAGTTTGTAAGCAAATTTAACTGGAAAATATTCCATCGATAGTTGGATGCCAAGTCAGTTTGTCTACCCCAATGGAGTTTGGCACATGGATATGAAGGATGGCTTGGACTGAGGTTGGGCAAAATGTTTGATTTAGACTTAATACATCCCAAGTTTTTTTCCCTGGGATAAAGAAGCTAAGCTAAAGAGATCGTTAGGTTTTCTTGGCTACGTGCCTGAAACAATCTCAAATGTGCTGCGACTAGTTGATCTATTCACAGAGCCATTATAAGCAAACTCAGCAATGGAGAGTATCTGATCCCATCTAGTGATACGATCACCAACATGACCTCTAAAGCGATCACAGTTTGCCCATCTCTTCCTAGATGATAGGTAGAAAAGAATTTCAATTTTGTATCCGTCAGTTTCCATAGGATTGAATTTTACATAAACAGCACCGGTTGCTTCCAATTGTAACTGTTTACATTTTTGTATAGTGACAAAATTCGCATCTTGAATTTGTATGACACTTAGAATGAGATCTATCAATTTCGATCGATGAAACTGTCGGGTCCCCATACTTTCGTTTATATGCGATCAAATGGTACGTTCTAGTCGATGTGCAGTCTTTGGGGTCCCATTGGTCTTGCTCGACCGGACTTAACCGCATACCATAAAAGCAAATGAAACCTTCTGGACATGACCTTAGGAGGATCCTCGAATACTTAAGTTAGTGGACGGGGGGACGGAGAGGTAAGCAAAATCGAGACTAAGCAGAGAGAGAATTCTCCTTGAGAGATGTACCAAAAGAGAGGATTTGTTTTCCTTTGAGGGATAAGGTGCCTTATGTGCGCAGATTGAGCCGACCCGCAGGCGCCGAGCAAGGTCCGCCCCCTCTCCCCAGGCCTTCGAGAGTGCCTAGGCCTCACAATTGGGTCCCGCGAACAGAACGTTTTCGAAGGTTGCGATCTCTCTTGGGGTTGATAGCCTTGTGGGCCGAGCCGCCGCTAGGCTACATAAGCGTGGTCGAGCCCGTGATTGGAAGTGAAAATTTTTGGTAAGTGATTCTAGACGCTATAACTTCTCTCTAGGTCACATACTAATTTCCTCAAAAGCGCCTTGAACCCCGAACTCGACCAATCCGATCCTCGACCCAAATCGGGGCGAGAGAGAGAGAGATTCACAAAAAAAAAATTGCCAAAAACTACAGATGGGCCGACACACGCAAGTCGGCCCGGCCCGATCCGAGCCCATACTACCGGCCCATCGATTACGTTTGGTCTCCTCGTTACAACCTCAAGCCTGGAAGCTCCGTTGAAGTCCACAGACGAAGAGAGTGCGATTTGACTGGAGCCGGAAGAAGCTTTCAGCTGAGCAACGAGCGACGGCGGGGACGATGAACACGGACATCACCGCGTCGGCGAAGCCGGAGTACCCGGTGATAGATCGGAACCCTCCCTTCACGACGGTGGTCGGCAACTTCAGCACCCTCGACTACTTCCGCTTCGTCACCATCACCGGCGTCTCCGTCACCGTCGGCTACCTCTCTGGTTTGCTCTCTCTCCCTCTCTCTGTCTCTCAGTTTGTGGGTGTCTGTGCGTGCGTGCGTGTGCGGATGATTTTACTCTCTCTTCAATGTCTGTATCTGTGCCGAAGTGTTCGTCGTCTTCATGAAATTGTTGCTTGCATCTGCGCGAAAAGTTGTGATGGGATGAATTTTGTTGAGTGCGAGCTGTGCTGATTGGTGAAATTTGCTGTGATTGTTGCTCAGCTTGTGCTTATTGGACTCGAAAGGATGGATCTTGTCGTGGGTGGGCATTGCCCACGTCGTGCTAATTGGTGGATTTGCTCTGATTGTTGCCCCCTTTCCGTGCTAATATGATTTCAAAGGGTGGATTTGTTTCTTTTGGGGATTGCCCGTTTCGTGCTAATTGGTGAATTTTGCTGTGATTGTTGCCCATTCTTATGCTAATTCGATTTGAAAGGATGGATTTTGTTCTAAGTGATTGGTGCCCATTTTGTGCTGATTGGTGAACTCGCTTTCAAAGGATGAATTTTTGTTTAGGTGATTATTGCCCCATTTTCTGCCAATGGGTGAATTTCCTAAGATAGGAAGGAAGGTCTTTATTCATTTAAGTTCTTTTGGGGGTTTCATAGGGATAAAGCCTGGGATCAAGGGACCATCAATGGTGACGGGCGGATTGATTGGTCTAATGGGCGGGTTCATGTACGCATACCAGAACTCGGCGGGCCGGCTAATGGGATTCTTCCCCAACGAGGATGAGGTAGCTCGTTACAAGAAGTGAATGCTAATTCCCTTTTTTCCGGGGGGCTTGTTTTTGTTATAATTTGGAACCCAAAATATATGCTTTAGGCACATCATGTTGTGCTTTTTGTGGGAAGATGACAGATGGTTATGTCAATAAATCAATGTTTTAGTGCTGACCTTTCTGCATTGAGATTGATGTTTCCTCGATTGATGAGTCACTTGATTCAGCCTGAATTGTGGAGTGCTGATTATGGTGTTTTCAGTTAATTTGAAATCGCAGTACTTACTACTACTTTGCAAACAGTCCTCTCATTGTTCTTTGCCCCATCACGCTCTACTCTTCTGAAAATTTATAGCTCGGGGTGGTCTTACCATTTATTCTGATAAGTGGGAACAGTTATTCTCGCTGTTGCTCAGCAGCTAGTAATTGCTCTGTCTAAGGTTTTAGTGCATAGGTGAGAGAGAAGACTCTTGGACGTGACTTGAGAGAGATTGAAAGAACAGCTGTTTACTGACAGGAAATTAGCTGCTCTTAAGCATCTTACTAGAGAGCACAATCTCCTTGGCTTTTGTAAGGAGAGATGTTAAGTTTACTTCATACTAAATAACGTGTTGTCAATGGTTTGTTTTTGCTCTATTGCTGTATTTCCGTGAATTCAAAGAGCAGCATTTGAGAGTAAATTGCACTCTCCACCTGGATGTGTTTGTGAATTGGTTGTTTGCTACTCTGATGACTGACATAGAGAAATGCTGATTGTTTCGCTGCTTAATTTGGTCTGTTAAGGGAAAAACATTAATCAAGGGAATCCCTAGCTGGTTTTAAAGCTCATTGCCAATTGCCATAGCAATAGTACCTTCATTCACCATTACAAGCTTCAAGAATGTGATGTACCATTTCCACTCTTGATCTGAGTGTGTGAACTTTCTGAAGAATATATCAAGTAATTTTTGCATTTTTGGTTAGGAAATCATCAATTTCTCGAGACACTGGTTGTAACACAATTAGCATATGCTGATGCACTAAAGTTCACTCCCTCTTGTCTTTTGGGTATTGAGATATAAAGAATTGGATAAGAGGGAGTGAACTTTGAGTTGTTTACAATGTTCATAGTTGGTGGATTAGATTGTTCAGATGTTGAATGAGAATGGATGACCTTCATTTGATTCTCAAGTAAACTACATCTTAGTGCACCTTCTGGTGAGTTGCTTAAAAGATGGAAGGGCACAAAGTTGCGGTGGTTGGAGACGGAACAGATGACATTCTCACACCAACAGCTGCCATTGTGGGACTCACTTTTGTTACTTGGGCCACTGACATTGTGAGAGAGTGCTGTCATTATCTTCGCATGAAGAAGAAATGTTCGATTAATCTGTGTGGACGATGCATGTACCAGTGACATGCGAAGTACACTTGATGTCTGCTGACTATTACTGTTGTGGGCTTGTTGATACTGCTGATAACAAAGACCTCACATGGAAGTTCGCCCATGACGACGACTCGGTTGTGCTGGTCAATCTCAGTTAGGAGTCTTCAACGTGGTTTGGCTCTTTTGATGGAGCCACCCACTGACCACAAGGTCGAGATGTGCAACTCGTTACCAAGGCCATAGGGCGAATATTATCATACGAGCAGCTCATCAGGTCTCTCTTGTGCTCACCAGGCCTCTCCTCCAAAGCTGGGCAAGCTGCAATTTTTAGGTGACTAAGGGATGCAAGCCTTTGCATTCCTTTAGGTAATGATGTCAACGAGGGGCACCCGATAATTTCAAGCTCTTGAAGTGATTAAAGGGACCTGATCTGTTCTGGTAAAGCCTTCAAATTTAAGCACTTTGAAGCTCGAGACTGCTGACCCGTAGAAGCCACTGTGGGAGAGATGCTAGTTTAGGAACATCAAGGATGTCCACGGACCGGAGACTCTTAAGTCCTTGTAAATCCATGATGTTGTCCCTTTCGTCTCTGGATAAACCGAGCTCCTCACAACTTCAAAAAGAGAGAGATGCGCAAGGTTCCATAGATTTCTTATACCGAGTGAGAGGGAAGTTAACTGAGGACTATTTATGAAGCCAAGAATCTCGAGTGAAGTGAGACTTGGAAACACTCCTCGGGCAAACATTCTAGAAGCTCCATCTCCGCGATATACAGTCTCTTCAACTCATTAAGGCCGATTATCCGAGTTATCCACTCTGGATTGACCTTACACAGCATCAACTCCTCAAGATGTGGAGTTAGTGGCATGGCATTAAAGTTTCACAGCAACCGATCCGTAATTTCAACAGACTAGTAAATGTTGTTAATGTTGAGGAATTGTCTAAATCAGTGTACTGTAATATTACGGATCGATTAGTGTGAAAACTTTAATGCCATGCCACTTACTTCACATCTCAAGGAGTTGATGTTTCTCTCTTAGGTCAATAAGAATAGGTATAGGACTGTTTTCAAACTATCCAGAATTTCAAGGTGGATTGATCCACTCGTCTCTGTCGCCACCCTCTCTCTCTTCATAATTGTTTCTATATCTAATGTTGCGACTAATTGGCACTATGTAAGCCACGTCACCGCCACTTATGCAAATAAGAAGAGGACACGTGTTTTCAAACTATCCAACTCATCAATCTAGCCAAGCAACTTAACTAAAAAGCTAATGGGGACTAGTCCAGTGGTGGCATTATGTTGCAATGCTTATTTCAAAAGTTAGTGTTCCCTCTTTGTCCTAATACCCTAATTATTTGGACTTTGCTTCGCCTATTAAACATTGTGCACCACCTTCTTTTGGGCTGCTCTTGTTTGTCCCGGTGAAAGAGGAAAAAGATTATGTAAGGGTGACAGCTCTCTTTTTCCTCCAAATATTTGAGAAACTTAGAGAAGACAATTGCCCTGTTCTAGGTATATAATGACATTAGGACTATATAGCAGAAACTTGATACCTTCAGCTGGGAAGTTGTTAAGGAAGAGCCTAAATTCAAGTCTCTCAATATTTTAAGTTAGACCTATATTCTTCCGAAAGTTTAAATCAATAAGTTATGGATCAAGTTGTGGAACTTCTTTCACCTATGACCATCACACGTGCTATTAGAAGCACATAGCCTTCACTGAGAAGATTGTTAAGAGAAAGCTCAAGTTTAAACCTGTTAACATATGTATTTGAACTTACCTTTACTCAAAACCTTAAACCAATAAATTATGGGCCAACCAAAATATAGTAACTACTTCGCACCATATCAACTCTTCGATATGGGACTTTTCTAACATAATTCACAAGTGCATCTTAATAATTTTCCCCTTACATAAAAACTCAGTGTTAGGTTTGCTCTTCTTTAATCAAGGTATCCTTCTACATCAACTTATCTCAACTTGAATCTCCAACGCACATCTTCATCCTTGATCTCTTTCTCCAGGGAGGTTGCAATTAGGATTGCGTTGCTTCACGACGACGTCTACCGCCTGGAAACCACGTTAGTCACCAAATTCCTCCTTTGAGATATTCACTAAACATCGATTCACATTGGGAATGGCCACCAATTAACTATTGGCTCTAATACTATTTGTTAAGAGCACGCAACAGAGGCCCTATACTTTTGATTGAAGAGATTGTTAAAAGGGAGTCTAAGTCCGAGCTCGCCAACTTATCCAATTAGACTCACTTTCACTAAAAAATTTGAGTCAATGAGTTATGGACCAATTAGAATATATTAATTACTCAACACCATATCAATTCTATGATATAGGACTTCTCAAACACAACTCATACATGTATCTTAATACAAATCTTTCTCTCACGCGTGAGCCTTTTATGTTACCTACTCCCCTTAATCTAAGTATTCCTTGCGCACCAATATTATCTCAACTCAAATCCCCACCTTGGCTCGGTCAAGTTTGGCAAATGTTGGAGAGAGGAACTGTATCCGTCCTTTAGACTCTACCTCAACTAACCCAAGTTTGGCGGGAAATGGAGAAAAACTATGTGTCACCTTAACGAGGGGGTCACATTTGAAATTCCTAATAAGATATTCTCCAAACATCAATCCACATTGGGACTCCTCAATCTATCATCGGCTTTGATTTCACTTGTTAGGTTGTTGGGTCGACATAGCATAAGCCTAATACCTACATTAGGAGATCGCAAAGGAAGAGCCCAAGTCCGAACTTGTCAGCATAATCAATTGGATTCACATTCTCTCAAAAGTTTAAAACAATGAGTTGTTGGCCAATAATTTGATATATTAAATGCTCCACGTTATGTTAGATGTGAGACTTCTTTTGTCTAACACTCCCACACGTGCACCCTAACGAATACAAATGGAAATGTAAATTCATTCCGGTACAACTCCAATACAGTCAAGTTTCACAATTTAATACATTCAAGTTTCACAATTTAATACATTCAAGTTCCACAATTTAATGTATACTCGGATCGTTAAATTCCACACATTGTTCATTAGCAGCCAAATATCTTTTACTGTGCTGTCAAAACGACGGTGACGACGAAAGCATAAATAAATAGAGTGGGGTGAAATATTACTTTTACTAGCAAATGAGCACAGACACTTGAGTGCAGACTCTTGGCCATTCAAGCAACTCTTTGGGAGATGAAATACTCTTTTGCTGATTGAAGTGAACAAAAATATGATCAAAGTTTTCGGTTGCCATTTTCCAAATATATGTTGAATAATCCAACGTATGTATAATTTTCCAAAATCATTACGACTAAACTCCGCAGATCCTTCAGACCAAAAAAAAAAAACTCCGCAGATCCTTTTCTTTCATGTCAATTGAAGTCTAAGTAAATAAGGGGTATCATGGATCGGTCATGATCTGTGCAATTGTCATTAGGAATTGTGCGTTTTAAGGGTTGAAGATTGCAAAGATAAAGTTGGAGTTTAAAGAAGTAAAGTTTAGTTAAGCTTAAAAAATGGCAGATAAATTATGTCATGAAAGTATCTTGTTAGGCATTATCAAGATACAAGACTGAACAAATGCTATTAGACAAAATTTGTTAAGCGCTAAATCGAATCAATGACAGTCTAGACTAAACTCGGATTTGTGTCCTTTCTTTGTCAAATATATCTATGCTTCACTAATCCTCGACACCACAAATGCTTGAGAGAGAGCGAGAGAGAGACGGTGCAAAGTTGAAAGATGGATTTTAGATAGTAGCCCCACAAAACACAGTTCCAAA